TTTAGATTATAAGTAAATGAATGATTAATGTAACAAACAGTAAAATTCCAGCACCATACACTAAGGAAATCCAACCAGCTTTCTAGAACACCACCAAAGCATAAGGTGTATCATACATGTTTATTTAAGATGAACCAGGTTTTTCCACTTTGTTTTATGCTACTATAAAAGAATGTGTGAATCCTAAATGTGCCCTTCTGTACAGTATGTCTGCTTCCATTATACTGTCTACTGTATGCTGTTTCTCATTTCCAGAGAAGGAGCAAAGAGATTTCACCTGCTAATGCTAAAAAAAAATGTCATTCTTTCTTTTCTTATGATACAATCCACATCTTTCTCTCTTTGTGTGTGCAGAAAATGCGCAGACACAAACACACAGCACAGTGCATGTATAATGACAGAGAAGTACTCCCAGCTCTCAATGGGGATCTCCTTGTCATGGTTTATCCCGAGGAATTATCATCCTCTCACTCTAAGTGCTTTGTTGTCACATCTCAGGTCTCCTGCACGATAGATACACTGTCCTGACATGTATGTGACAAAGCGTCTCTCCGTTTGTTGCTCTTCTACATTTCATTGGCTCATTCTCTCCATTTTTCTCTCACTCTGTTTTTAAATGACATTAATAACACAAAAACACTGACCAGCAGCTATTGTTGGATAACAACAGTGTAACACCAGCCTTGATTATTTAGTTTTTCTTTTTCTTTTTCTTTTTGTACAAACACTGTAGATGAGGAAAGTTTGTGGTGACAGAACCCAATTAAGGGAATCTTTTTCATAGTTCATTATGAGTCTCCAAGTGATTGCCAGGAAGAGTAAATGAATGGAAAATGAATATGCTTACACAAATGAATATGCTTACACAGACCCATTAGCAATGTGTGCTCACTATAGAATTAAAAGGGTCTATGCATTTCTACCATAAACAATTTTCATAAGTTGTTTGTCCAGTAGATAAACACATGTAGCTGTGTTAGCATCAGCCTGCTCGAGACACTTAATATTGTGGGAGGAATTAGGGACAAAGAGGCAATAATAGTAAGCACACTAATTAGATTACACTGTTCACTTTCACTTAGAGTGGTGAAGCCACTCTGTGTTGATTATTTTATTATCTTTCTCTTTACAGAAAGCACTTAATCCAGCACAGTTTGCAGTCTTTTAGCTCAGTTTAATTTATGCTCTCAAGGGTTGAAGCTGGCATGACTCATGGTTGGAGGAATTTGCATTTCTATCTTTGGCTGATTCGTGCTGCACTGTGCAGACGCTCATGGCTCCTGGACAAACTGATATTGTAAGTGTCAAATTAACGGAAAAGGTGAGGGCCACCACACACATCTGGAACAACTTCAGTGTTCCTTGGCACAGATTCTTTAAGTCTGTGAGAAGTCTGCTGAAGCAATGAACAGTCTTCATCCAAAAGATGTCTTCTGATGATAGTGGTAGAGCGTTCGCTATGAAACCTTAATCATACTCCAGTAGACACATGTAAGACTTTATTTGGACACTTTATTAATCATTATAAACCAGCAATACTCAAAAGAGAATTCTAGTGCCTGATTTAGGCTGCCTGAATCTAATCAACCCCTGCAACCGTGAATGGACACTAGGGCCTTGGGATTACTCAGCACTTCAAACTGTGAGGGCCTCTTCACTATCAAGGTTTTCACTACCATAGAAAGGCCTAGGTGCAGTGCCTAACTGTTTCTGAACGAATTAATGAATGTAAACAAGGCGACATATCAGAAACAATGCAAAAACAGTGGTGAGTTATATATGTACTGACCTGATCTCAAAATGAACCATAAGCTGGTAACAGGAATCACCTGTCAATCAATGACTGGTTTGTGGACAAACATTTGTGTGATTGGCAGCATTGCAAAGCTAATCAAAGAGCTGACTTGGTTTTCTTCTGTACTGTCAACTTAGGGTAGTAGTTACAGCCATCACTAAGGTTCACCTCCACAAAGAATACATGAAGTAGGCTATAACTTTGTGTATGATAATGGAGATAGCAAAAGGTAGCCTGTTTTACAAGTTTAAAAAAATGCTAATGTAGCTAACACCTACTGAATTAGCTAGGTTATGTTAGCCAGTTGATGTTACATAAATAATATGTTAGAAATGTAAATTAGAATTTCCTTCAAATAATTTTAACCCTAAGCCATCTGAAAACCTAGGGGAAACCCTGTCATGTGCTTGTGGTTCACTGGTTAATGCTTTTGACATGTTTCAATGTTAAAAACACTACACATTATTACTGATGCTTTTCTTCAACGCACCTTTGCTACAAATTTGAAAAATATATATTTCACTCCCTTGACCAGTTAGTGCCAGGTCACCTGCAGAGCTGCCCCAATTTAAATTCCCACAAGATTTCATCTTATATGAATGTGCTACCTGTAACACACATTTGAATGCTTTTGTTTATCATCTGTGATGTAAAAAACATCAGATGTAGACGCAGTGAGAGGAAGTACAATACCAGGCTTTAGCTTGGACACTCCTACTCACTCATTTGTTTTTCTTTGTTTCGGTTATTTTCTACATTGTAGATTTAAACTGAAGACTTCAAAACTACAGTATGAAATAACATTTATGGAATTGTGCTATAGGCAAAAGTATGAACAAAGAAATTTATGTTTTAAATTTTAGATTCTTCAGATGACAGATATTTGCCCTAATGACAGTGTTGCACACTATCTTAACCAGTTTCATGAGGTAGTCACCTGAAATAGTTTTCAATTAACATGTGTGCCTTAGTAAGTTGTGCTGTGCCAAGGTAGTGTTGGTATACAATCAATCATTACTTTAGGTTATGGAGGTCAAAACCAGAACATTTCAAGAACTTTGGAAATACAGTCACCAAAACACCCAGTGCTCTGATACAACGGGCCACCATAAGGATCACCACAGTTAGCTCTGCTGGGGAGGAGAAGTTCATTACATCACCAGCCTCAGAAATCAGCAAATAATGGTACTTCAGATTACAGCCCACATCAATACCGCACAGAGCTCAAGTAGCAGGCACATCTGAACAGTTGGGAGGAGACTGCGTAAATCTGCTGCAAAGAAATCACTATAAGAAGAAGAGAACTGCTTCGGCCAGTGGACATTAGACCAGTCGAAATCTGTATTTAGACTTGTTATTTGTTGTTTGTCCCTTTCATTTCATAGGGCCCATAGGGGTGCCTCTGCTCCTTCAGTAGTGGCCAGAATTGCAACAACTGTGCCAACATTAATGACAACATACGTCACACCTTAAAGCTTTACAACAGCTAGGTAGCCAGCTAGCAAGCAACAAGCTAGCAGACCTCTGTGGTCTTGGCAACTGTCATATATATGGTGTTATAATACTGAAATTGTCATAAACTATCTGGTTAGGTTTAAGCACAAAAACTATGAGTGTCACAGCAAAGGGTCTGAATATTTATGACCATGTGATATTTCAGTTTTTCTTTTTTAATAAATCTGCAAAAATGTCCAAAATTCTGTGTTTTTCTGTCAATATGGGGTGCTGTGTGTACATTAATGAGGAAAAAATGAACTTAAATGATTTTAGCATATGGCTGCAATATAACAAAGAGTGAAAAATTTAAGGGGGTCTGAATACTTTCCGTACCCACTGTATACCGCTCTTTCCTGAACAGGGTCACAGGGGGGCTGGAGCATATTTGTAAAATACACAGCCTGTCACACTGTTGTTCCTGTGTTGCTCTGTTTACATGACACAGTTAAAACAAAGTGCAGTGATTCACCCGACAAAATGCAAGTCAATGCAGAGTCAAGAATGACAGGCTCTAAAACCTGCAGACCACGCATACACACAGAAAACTGCTCTGTCCCTAAAGTGGTTTTCCACCACCTGGTACTGGCTCAACTCAACTTGACTCGTTCTCACCTTATTTGTGATTCCATCAGTCAAATGATGGGGATAGTACCTGGTACCTTGTACTATTTTGGTATCACCTCTGTCAAGGTTCCAAGCAGGCTGAAGCGATGCCAAACAGTGACATGTAAACACCGCAGGCTAGCAACTGGTCAGTGAAATTGCATAACTTACCATTTTGCATCACCTTTAAGCAACCAGAGTCGTCTCATCATCTGAACTTCAAAGTACTATTTGCCAAACTCTCCTGTTTGTTTCAGGAGTCTTTTGTCTTTCTTCCTTCAGCCACTTCTGAAACTAAATCTCTCTTTGCTGTGACATACAGCCACATACCGAGAATCAACAATAGCATACCTTCGACGTCCTCCACTGTTATTGTGTTGGCTGCTGATGACATCACAGCAGTGTAATGTGGCGTCGTTGTCACAGCCAGCTACACTGCGGTGGGGACTATCTGCAGTGGAAAATGAAGCAGCTGGTACCAAAAGCAAGTAGATTTGAGTAGAGTCGAGTCAAGTTGAGCTGCTACTAGCCATGGAAAAGGGGCTTTAGGCCTCCCTGTTACATAATGACAACAGACTGCATGGATGTGGGCCACAGTTTTCCATTTTATGGTTTGTTTTTTATTTTGTTGGTTTGAAGGGGTACTTCATGAACGAGTGCTCACACAGGTATATAGTCACACACTGTACACATGCAAAGCTTTTAATGACAGAATGGGAGGTCAAAAAGACACATTTGTTGTGACCAAAATCATCTATCACACACACATACAGTACACACTCCATTCTAGTCTGCACCTTAGCTGATGGTATCTGGGCTAATCCTTTATTGTTTAGTGGAGACAGAAGTAAAACAACCACAATAATATAGATTTTGTATAACTGGAAGTCGGGGGAAGGTTCTGAGAGGCAGGTGGGAGAGGATGGATGTTAAAAGGGAATTGGAGAAGGAGAGTGAGCGAGGGTGGCGGAGGAATGGAGAAAGTGAGGACGAGAAAAAGAAGGAACCAAAGAGAGAGAGAGAGAGAGAGAGAGATGACTTAAAACCTGGGCACGAGTGAAAATAGATGGGCGATACATGAGAGGCGAAAGAGAAAGCAACTCACCCATCTGTGTCCTGGAAGTTGACATTCACTTTCTTTGCAGAACCAAGGAGCTCTGAAACACAAATAAAGTGGAGCATGAATTGATTTTTGCAGCCAATAAATGTTAGTAAAAGCTGGTTGATGTCGTTTTATAACTCAGCATATCAGTGTTGTGTTCAGTGTTTTTGATTACAAAATCATTGTACTATACAACATGAGGTTAATTCAGTCCTCAAGCCAATGAACCAACATTTTGCACTTTTTCCTCATCCGTTTCTCCTGAATGAATGACTCAGAAGATGTCATTCATTTTGAGTCATTTTGTCATCATACTTCCTTGCCCGCTGTTTAACACAAAGGCATATCATTCCCTCAAGTTCAGGCCCCCATGGTGATAACATGCCCTATAACTCTGTATATGTACATCATTCACCAGCTACTGTATTATGAGCTTGTGCATGGAATGAGGTAATTTGAATGGAACGGACATTCAAAACTCACAGACAGAAATAAGATAAAAATGTGTGCAAAATGCACAACTAGAACACAAAATTAGATGTCCTGTCATTTGTTGATACAGCTTAGGGAGCACTTAGTTTCATTGAATGCAACTCCCTGCTAAGACAAACATGACAGAATGGTTGTCATATATGAATGAGATCCTGATTTTAAAATGATTAATTCCACAGCACTGTTGTTAAAGACAGACACACACTGTAAACAACTTAGTTTACTCTGTTTTAAAATTTCTAAAACACAAGGAAACGCTTTCTGTCATTAAAAGCCCAGTGCACTTGCTACTTAACAAAGTCACTGAAAGCAGCCTTGCATGCCATCTTTGTACCTATCAGGTACAATATAGCTTCAACAGCCACTTTTTGGTGCCCAAGCTGCAGGGATGTTGAAATTTTATTACTTTTTTTTTTTACAGTGTACGTTAACACTCATAAGCACATCCTGTACATTGGCTTGAAAGAACAGATACAGTGTATGACTGCACTGAGTTTATTAACACAATGCTATTTTTCATTATTCTCATTTCATTTTTGTCTCCTGTTAGTGTGGCTGATGATACAAAACTGAGGCGCAGCAAACACGAGCCTGCACTCTCTCTTTCTACACAGACACACACTCCCTCCGGAGTGCAGGAAACAGGACAGTCCCTCTATTGTCGAGGAGACAGCTCCCAGCGCCACTGGGAGAGGAACATTGATTTCCTAACAGGCTATTTCTGGCCTCTAAATGCAGGGATTCACTCACACACTCTCTCACTAAAACATGCACAGACCCATGGACCAAGAGCTTTCAAAGACACCGTCTGCAGTATATCCTCTGTATCTGTATATGTGCTTTCTGTAACACCACAGAACCTGATGTGCATCCAGTAACTTGCATTACAATAACACTAATGTGAGGCTCCATACAATGACTAGCATCCTCCTAAAAATGAACATGCACACATACTTTTAATGTCATAACATCACGCCTGCCAGGCCTGTAGCCCTGTTGTGTGACAGGAAAAACGACACACCCAAGAAATCATTCATCAAATGTCTTCAAGTCCTCTGCCATGAAACTCTTCCACCCAGTACATCTGGATTTAAAAAGTTACAGGAAAGTCCATTATTGTCTTTCTTCTTTTTGTTTTGTTTTGTGGATGCCTGTTCCTCCAAGCCTTCAAGCGACAAGTGAAACATGTAATTTGCATTATGTGATTGTGATTTTAAATGAGGTATTCTTATTTTTGGAACAGTTCCAGTTTCAAGTCAGATGCATGCATTGCATGCATGCATTACTGCATGTCTCCTGGGGGGAACTGAACCACAAACACATAGCTGAATTAAGTAACATGCCCTGGCAAAGGTGAAAGGTCAGGAGCACCCAAAGGGCATGCATTTTTTAAATTGTAGCATACATGCATGAGACACAACAAAGGTTAGATGCTTGGTTTTATGCTGATTCTTTGTTTTCATACTGGTGGCAAAAGCGGGCTGACGTTATCTTCAGGGGAAAGGAAAAGGGAACGTCACTGCTTTTAATAACATGCTGTGCTGTTATATAATATTTATATGAGACTGAGTCTGTTGTAAAGAAACCTTTTAAGCAAGGGAGTTTAATTTTCTGTATCACATGAAATAAATGTTACCAATGTTACCAAAAGGAGAGGAGGATTTCTTTGTTCTCTTATAGCCTCAGTGCTCTGCCTCCAAAGTTATTCTTCTTGGTCTCTCTCCCTCCCTGTCTGGCAGTAAGGATGGAAAATAGTGTGCTGGACTCTGGAGTGCTCTCAGAAAGCAGACCTGTTGTTCTAGCCCTGATCGATCTGTCCCCCCTCCCCCCTCCTCTGACTGTTTCCTTCATGTCTCTACACCTCTTCTTCATTTTCTTCTTTCTTTTTGCACCACCCTTCCCTCCGGGTCCACAAATGAGAAAGGAGATATCATTTCTTTTCTCTCTCATGCAACCATTTTTTTCACTCTTCCTGTAGCAATAATATTACACTGGCAGGCCTTGCAGCATCCTTCACTATTAAGATAGACTTTATGCCCTTGAACATTACCCAGTAGTAACACATCAGGACTGTTGTAATATTTCACACTCCTGCCAGTTAAAACTCTCCCAACTGTGGTTTAAATCCTACACTAACAGAATGTCACTTAATTAACCTCTGAATATAGATTAAAACTGGCAGACTGTAATTTTTTTCCTTCATCTTGTAACCTTTGTCTTCCTATTTATCCTGTGTCTGTTTCAAAGTTGCCAAAACTAAAGGCTCCTGGATTAATCAATACACTACAGGTTCATGTTAAGGTAATTAGTTGAAATTATTTCATCTTTGTTTCTAAGACGTTTTGAAATACAAGTGATCGACCAATACCAGACCTGACTGGGGAATGCAATGAGCTGATAAGAGCTTTCGAACCAATGCCGCTGCAAACTGAACTAATCAGTATACCAGCAGATATGTTTGCATGTGTGTATGTGTGTGTTTTTGTAGCCTTTCTAGGGAAACCCCATATATTGTGCCATTTATTTTCTTACTAATTACAGGACAATGTGATATCTTGTCCCAGTTTGTAGGCTTAAAATACTGTTTATATTTATGTGTGTCAAACATTCCCCAGGGAAAAAATCCATTCAGTGGCGTAACATGAAGCTGCCAAATTCATCACAAACTGACCAAGAATCCTTAAGTGAACTTGTCAAAACTGCTGAATGTTTCTACAGAGTGTTGATGCTGTTGGCACGAATGCCAATTTTAAATCTCTGTGGGAGTTGTAGTTAGCATTTCCCCTGACATTTTTATGTCCACACTCACCAGTGTTTTTCTAATACAGTTGCTCATCTGTTTTAGTGATGATACAAACAGGAGATTTTTATGTCCATCCAGGCCTTGAAGTGCCCTAATGTCTGATCACCTAACAGGGGAGAATCTAGAAAATGTTGGACAGGGTGGCCAGGCTGGGGCACAGACTCAGAGAGGATGACACATTTGAAATACATGTAATTAAATTAAGGCCCTAGTTATATGAAATAATAAACCAAACATTATTAAGAATCAAACTGTTTATTATGTGTAAAAATGAGACACACATAATTCTTTCTTTAGCTAATTTTGGCTGCGCTCCTTATCTACTCCCAACTGGCGACATCACTGCTGCACAGTGGTTCCCCCCAACTGAGGTAAATCATGCCAAGTATTCCACAACAACACAACTGGAGAAATGAAAAACTAATTTGACCAATATCAATTATAAAGCCCCAGAAAAATGTTGTGTTTAAAGCAACTAACTATTTGTCATTCTTTTTCATTTTTCATTCATTACTACTCACAAGTGTCACATTTTGACTGCAGCAGGGGTGGTCAGTCAGACTTTTGGCATGGCCAGTACCATCGCTTGCCACCCCATTGGCTCCACCCATGTCACCTAACCTTGAATGCACAGTCAACTAGCTAATATCCATGTAAAATAGCAGGTACATCTAATGTCTCTTATAAGATCGTTCCTGTGTCCTATATCCTCAGTCGACCCGGAAGTCGTTCTGGTCCAAGGATGTAAGTACGTTCCAGGTCTCAGATATCGGCTCTGAGTGCCGAGGACGGTGCTGGAGGAGGCAATGTCAAGAATACATAAAACTATCATTTGTGCATGTTTTTTTGTGAACTGACATGCCCCTTTATCAGAAATCAGTTGGTAATTGGACACTTTAGATGACTGATGAAAGGACACCTCCTGTCATCAGCGTGTTTCCTTGAGTCTCCTCATGTGTTTTCCTTGCATCTTACATGAGTGGGACCAAGACACAAGGAAAAGATGCAAATGAGTGAAACAACAGTGCTTATAAGAGACATGAGATGTACCCATAGAAGGTCAATTCTATCTTTCATGCCTCTGTGTTCATGTGTGTGCGTTGAATAACCATCTGGCTTTGAACTGAGTGACCTCACTTTTCATTTTCAGGCATCATAAAATGACATGACCTCCCTCGTGTCATCGAATAAGGACAGAAGTTCTGTAAGAGACATCATATAAGGGCAGAATGGGTAAGACTGGGAGCTCTGCCAACATCATCCTCTGCCTGCCAGATGTGCAAACACAGTAAATCAGCCTACACAGACACACATGCTAAATGTGTGTATCATGACTGTATATACACAAAGTGCCAAGCAGTTTCACATCCAAACCAAATACACACATGCTTTACATTGATTTGTGCATAACTCTGATGTCTCAGCATTATTAAGTCACTGTATCCCCATATAAATATTATGTGTGTGTGTGTGTGTGTGTGTGCATGTATCAGCATGGTAACTGCAGGAGCTGTTTGACCCTCATTGACCCTCTCTGCTTCCTCCCTCCTTATCAACACTGCCTGTTCAGAGCTTTCTGAGCAGGCAGTACACACATGCCATCTGTTCACAGCTCACACCCACATACATACACAAACACACACTCTTAATTGCTGACTCAGTGCCTGTACAGTAACATACATCCTTCACCCTTACAGTGATGTCACGTGTGCACATTAGAAAGCACGTACATGTACTGAGCATGCACTCAATAACATGTT